GAAGGTTGTGCAGTATATTTGTTGGGAATTGTTATCTCCTCTCGTGTTGCAATAAATGCAGGACATTGAACTTTGAGTTACTGTGACGTACGAGTGCAATCCGTGATCTCGTTATCTGTGATCCACCAACCGTCTGTGTGCATGCATTGTACAAGGAGCAGAGGAGGGAGGCTCCATGGCATGGAATGTTCACATACATTCCTCAAATGTAGATTGGGGTCACCAACCTGATATATGTTCAGGCTTCATTCACACAGACCGTAAAAACAGGTTCAGCCCCAGTAAATGCGCCTCAGACCACAGACCAGCCCCAGTGCATGCGCCTTCACGCCGCAGACCAGCCCCAGTGCATGCGCCTTCACGCCGCAGACCAGCCCCAGTGCATGCGCCTTCACGCCGCAGACCAGCCCCAGTGCATGCGCCTTCACGCCGCAGACCAGCCCCAGTGCATGCGCCTTCACGCCGCAGACCAGCCCCAGTGCATGCGCCTTCACGCCGCAGACCAGCCCCAGTGCATGCGCCTTCACGCCGCAGACCAGCCCCAGTGCATGCGCCTTCACGCCGCAGACCAGCCCCAGTGCATGCGCCTTCGGTCCTCTGCGAGCCCCAGTGCATGCGCCTTCGGTCCTCTGCGAGCCCCAGTGCATGCGCCTTCGGTCCTCTGCGAGCCCCAGTGCATGCGCCTTCGGTCCTCTGCGAGCCCCAGTGCATGCGCCTTCGGTCCTCTGCGAGCCCCAGTGCATGCGCCTTCGGTCCTCTGCGAGCCCCAGTGCATGCGCCTTCGGTCCTCTGCGAGCCCCAATGCATGCGCCTTCGGTCCTCTGCGAGCCCCAGTGCATGCGCCTTCGGTCCTCTGCGAGCCCCAGTGCATGCGCCTTCGGTCCTCTGCGAGCCCCAATGCATGCGCCTTCGGTCCTCTGCGAGCCCCAATGCATGCGCCTTCGGTCCTCTGCGATCGCTGTATTGTAGGCGGATGCTGCTGAGTTGAGTCCACTTGTTGCATCTCTTCGCCCTCACCGCCACTATGAGAGGGTGTCGATCCCTCCTTGGGAGGTCTACCCAGCTCACCACACTCCACCCAGAACTGAAATCTAGAGATTTGGGTGTTGCGCTGGCAAGGCTCCCTTCCCGGATCTGCGTACCCTCGGGATGCAGGTCATCGTAATCCGACTCATTGTACTTCCTCCGCCTCTCCAGTCACCTGCCGTGTATAATGAGCTATTGTTAGGGCACCTGTCTGCGCCAGACACGGCGTACCGCCATTGTCTACAACCTGACCGTGAAATCGCTCAGCCGCCTCCGCCGATTAACCCCGTCAGCTGACGCTCATTTATATTTAACGTGCGTGTGCTTCTATGTGTATGTTGGTGGATCTCTGTAGATCGGAACTTCTTGTCCTTCTTTTTAAAAGTATTAAAAATCTGGAGACCCCCCACATCATGTGACCCATACCGCACCTTATCGCCATACGTCTGGCCTTTCTTTGGTGGTAAATAGATATCGCATTATTTTTGCTTTTTAATTTTTTTAATTTTGGGATTTAGGTTTTAAAATATTTTATTTTGTCTAAAGTTCATTTTATGTAACGAAGATGAGAAATCGTTGTACTTACCTGATCCTCCACTCTCCTGCTCCCCCAGAAGGTGGCGCCTTCCCCCCCCTCCACCCATGATCCCTGTCCCTCGGAGTCCTCATGACCACAGCAGGGCTATAGACCCTTGATGATGTCAGGACCTTTAGGGCTGGTTCAGGGGCAGACTGACAACTCATGGGGCCCCTGGGCAATAGGGAATTATGGGGCCCCTGTGTCCTTGCCCACGCTCAAAAAAGACTATGAAAAAGGTACCAGGGGCATCAAATGGGGCCCCCTACTGACCCCCAGGCCCTCGGGCAGTGCCCGAGTTTCCAAACGGTCAGTCCGCCCCTGGGCTGGTTCACACCACATGCAGTCCAGTGCAGGGGCGGACTGACCGTTTGGAAACTCGGGCACTGCCCGAGGGCCCGGGGTCAGTAGGGGGCCCCATGAGATGCCCCTGGTACCTTCTCTCTTCTTCCTTTTTTTTTTTTTTTTTTTTTTTTTTTTTTTTTTTTTTTTTTATAGGCTTTTTTGAGTTTAGGAAGGACATGGCCCCATGATCCCCTATTGCCCAGGGGCCCCATGAGTTTAGTCTGCCCCTGGTCCAGTGCATTTTTTTTTTTCTGCATCAAAACCGCAAGGATAGTAGGTTATATGGTTTCCAATGGCGTAGTTCACACCAGTGCGGTCAGTTCCAGGAAAAAAAAAAAGCAGAACATGCTGCATTTTTTTTTTCTGCAGTGAACTGAACTGGAACGCACCAGAATGCACATGTCCTTTAAGGTGAGGAGAAAAATGCACCGGAACGCAGCAAAAACATGCATCCGGAATGCATCCAGACTGTTTCTATGGCAGGGGCAGACTGACCATTTGAGCACTCGGGCAGTGCCCAAGGGCCCAGGGTCAGTAGGGGCCCCATGAAATGTCCCTGGTACTTTTTTTTTTTTTATTAGGCTTTTTTTTGGGTGTGCTTTGAGCGTGGGCAAGGACGCAGGGGCCCCATGATCCCCTATTGCCCAGGGGCACCATGAGTTGTCAGTCCGCCCCTGGGCTCGGGTGTCCAAACGAAGGCCCTCCAGCTGTTAAAGTACTACAATTCCCATCAGGCCTCTGCCTCTGGGTGTCTTGCCTGTGGATGTTAGTCTCGCAAGGCCTCATGGGACTTGCAGTTCCTCAACACCTGGAGGGCCATAGTTTGGACACCCCTGTTCTATTGTGTGAACCGACCCTTAGACTGCTGGACTGTGGGGGGTGCAGATGCTGCATTGAACGGACTAGCTGCAGGGCAGAGCAGATAATTAGGTAAGTAAATCTTCCTTTTATTGTATACCTTAAAGACCACTCTCAGTCTCTAGTAATGATTGGCTGCGACAGCCAATCACAGCAGTCACATGCTAAATCAGACCCACCCCCCACCCAAGGCAGAATTGCCCAGTTAAAGGGACTCCAGGGCTGGACAGGAAGGGGTTAGTCTTCAGATATTCTTTTTTTATTTAGTGCTTTGTGAACAATTCTAGGACCAGGATCCTTGGCTCTTCCAATTGTTTGTTTTTCTCTCCCAGGCATTCCACACGCCTCTCCTGCAGGCTGTGTAATCTGATCTCACTGCCATTGCCACAACAGCAGCTACCATCTGAGCCTGCAAAAGTATTCATTTGCAGTATTTCTTGCAAAACGTCGGACTGTTTATACAATGGGGATTATAATGATTTGATCCCCCGCAGATTTTGTATGTGTGCCTCTTACAAAGAAATGAAGGGTCTATAACTTTTATCATAGGTGTATTTTTAAATGATGGAGACGGAATATCAACCAAAAATCCAGAAAACACACAATACAAATGTTATAAACGGAGTTGCAGTTCAGTGAGTAAAATACGTATTTGATCCCCAAGCAGAACAGGACTTGGTACTTGGTGGAGGAACCCTTGTTGTCCATCACAGAGGTCAGACGTTCCTTGTAGTTGGCCCCCAGGTTTGCAGACATCTCAGGAGGGATTTTGGCCCACTCTTCTTTACAGATCTTCTCTAAATCTTTAAGGTTTCTCAGCTGTCGTTTGGCAACTCGAACTTTCAGCTCCCTCCATACATTTTCTATAGTATTAAGGTCTGGAGACTGGCCAGGCCACTTCATGACCTTAATGTGCTTCTTCTTGAGCCACTCCTTTGTTGCCTTGGTGGTATGTTTTGGGTCATTGTCATGCTGGAACACCCATCCACGACCCATCTTCGGTGTTCTGGCTGAGGGAAGAAGGTTCCAGTCCAAGATTTTACAATACATGGCCCCGTCCATTTGCCCTTCAATGCGGCAAACTCGGCCTGTACCTTTTTAGCAGAGAAAGCATAATGTTTCCATCTCTGTGTTTGACTGTAGGGATGGTGTTCTTAGGGTCATAGTCTTCCTCCAAACACGGCAAGTCGAGTTAATGCCAAAGAGTTCACTTTTGGTCTCTGACCACAACACTTTTCTTCCAATCCTTCTCTAAATCATTTAGATGTTCATTGGCAAACTTCAAACGCACATGTGCCTTCTTGCGGAGGGAACCTTACGGGTGATTTCAATTCATGGCGGCGTATTGAGTTACCAATGGTTGGTTTGGTGACTGTAGTCCCAACTGCCTTGAGATCATTCATAAGCTCCTCCCATGTAGTTCTGGGCTGATCCCTCACTTTTCTCATGATCATCCTTACCCCATGAGGGGAAATCTTGCATGGAGCTCCAGACTGAGGGCGATTGATGGTTATTTTGTATTTCTTCTATTTGTGAATAATCTCTCCAACAGTTGTCTCCTTCTCACCAAGCTTCTTGCTGATGGTCTTGTAGCCCATTCCAGTCTTGTGCAGGTCTACAATCTGGTCCCTGATGTCCTTTTGACATATCTTTTGGTCTTGTCCATCATGATGGTGCCCAAGAGAGAGATTCTGTGGACAGGTGTCATTTATACACATAACGAGTTGTTGTTAGATTAGTCAATTTAAGAAGGTGCTCCTGCGTAACACAAGAGCACATAGCCAGTCTGTGGGAGCCAGAATCATTGTTGGTTGGTAGGGGATCAAATACTTATTTTACTCACTGAACTGCAACTCAATTTATAACATTTTGTATCGTGTGTTTTTTTTATTTTGTTTGTTTTTTGTTTTGTTTTTTTGGGTTTTTTGTTTTTTTTTTTTTTGTTTTTGTTTTTTTTTTCTGGAATTTTGGTTGATATTCTGTTTCTATCACGTAAAATACGCCTAGGATAAAAATGATAGACCCTTCATTTCTTTGTAAGTGGGCAAACCTACAAAATCTTCCAGGGATCAAATAATTTCCCCACTGTACAATGTAACCTATATTCTTTATCAGGGAGGTCAGGCAGGAAGTCCCCTCCGGGGCGTGACCCCCCCAGCCCCCTTGTGTTTCATTTCTCTCTGTCTTCCTGCAGGTGGTCCGCTGCGTACAGCACAGGAAGAGGATGCGCCGGAACCGCCTGTCTAAAGATCAGCTGAAGAAGATCCCCATTCATAAATTTAAGAAAGGTATAGGATGGGGGAGGGTGGGGACTTCCAAATGCTGTCCACAGGACTGGAACTCAAATGGTTGAACATGTTCACAAGCTTGGTGCCTCTTTTAATTCTTTTTTTTTTTTTTTTTTTTTTTTTTTTTTGTTCTGGCTATCCAGTAGTGCCCCTCACACACACCCCTGATGTACCCAACCGCCTGCTGCTCAAATTGGGCAAATTTGAGCATTTTTAACTGCATAGAAATGAATGGAAATGCACCATTCCTGCGTTTCTGCATGTTTTATGTGCATTTTTGGAGTGTTTTTCTGTTCAAATGAAAAAGAAATACAAAAAAAAAAAATAATTGAATAAAATAAATAATATGCATAATTATTCCCTAATAAATAATAACTAATCCCTAACCTTAACCTCCTAACCCTAAAAAATAAATAAATTAGTAAGAATAATATTAAACTATAACCCAAAAATACATTTATTATTATTATTAATAAGAATAATATTAACACCCTAACAAAAAAATAAATATTTAAATAGAAGACAATAAATCAAATATTAACACTTAACCTCTAACCCCTTGCCTTAACAAAAAAGAAAAACAATACATTGAAAAATTCTAAAAAATTAAATAAAAGCTGATGAAAAAGCTTTAGAAAAAAAAAAAAAAACTGAAAACCCTAGCAACAAATGATGAAACAGATGATCTTTTTCTCTATTGGCTATTAAAAAAACGCTGTACAAAAACGCCAGAAAAAAAAAAACACTCAAATACAATGATCGGGTGTGAACGCAGCCTAACAGTCTCTTGTAACCTGAAAACAGCCGTGCGGCAGACTCTTGCAACATAACAAACATTTCCGGGTTATATGACAGAAGACTAACAGTTTCTTGTAACAAGGCAGCACCATCTAAGAATCCCCTGTGATATGACTGTAGTTTCTAACAATCACTTGTAGCATTAAAACAGCTTCCAGCAGAGTACCAGGCAGGAGTCCATACCAGCCTCTTGTTCTAGAACAAATCCCTAACAGTCTTTTAACAAGGCAGCAGCCTCTAACAATCCTCTGTTACATGGCCATAGTCTCTAGCAACCTCTTGTTACAAGGGACTATTAGAGACTACTGCATGTTACAAGAGATTGCTAGAGACTATGGCCATGTAACAGAGGATTGTTAGATGCGGCTGCCTTGTTACAAGGGACTATTAGAGACTACTGCATGTTACAAGGCAGCAGCCTCTAACCATCCTCTGTTACATGGCCATAGTCTCCAGCAATCTCTTGTAACATGCAGTAGTCTCTAATAGTCCCTTGTAACAAGGCAGCAGCATCTAACAATCCTCTGTTACATGGCCATAGTCTCTAGCAATCTCTTGTAACATGCAGTAGTCTCTAATAGTCCCTTGTAACAAGAGATTGCTAGAGACTATGGCCATGTAACAGAGGATTGTTAGAGGCTGCTGCCTTGTTACAAGGGAATATTAGAGACTACTGCATGTTACAAGAGATTGCTAGAGACTATGGCCATGTAACAGAGGATGGTTAGAGGCTGCTGCCTTGTAACATGCAGTAGTCTCTAATAGTCCCTTGTAACAAGGCAGCAGCCTCTAACCATCCTCTGTTACATGGCCATAGTCTCCAGCAATCTCTTGTAACATGCAGTAGTCTCTAATAGTCCCTTGTAACAAGGCAGCAGCATCTAACAATCCTCTGTTACATGGCCATAGTCTCTAGCAATCTCTTGTAACATGCAGTAGAGGATTGTTAGATGTTGCTGCCTTGTTACAAGGGACTATTAGAGACTACTGCATGTTACAAGGCAGCAGCCTCTAACAATCCTCTGTTACATGGCCATAGTCTCTAGCAATCTCTTGTAACATGCAGTAGAGGATTGTTAGATGTTGCTGCCTTGTTACAAGGGACTATTAGAGACTACTGCATGTTACAAGGCAGCAGCCTCTAACAATCCTCTGTTACATGGCCATAGTCTCTAGCAATCTCTTGTAACATGCAGTAGTCTCTAATAGTCCCTTGTAACAAGAGATTGCTAGAGACTATGGCCATGTAACAGAGGATTGTTAGAGGCTGCTGCCTTGTTACAAGGGAATATTAGAGACTACTGCATGTTACAAGAGATTGCTAGAGACTATGGCCATGTAACAGAGGATGGTTAGAGGCTGCTGCCTTGTAACATGCAGTAGTCTCTAATAGTCCCTTGTAACAAGGCAGCAGCCTCTAACCCTCCTCTGTTACATGGCCATAGTCTCTAGCAATCTCTTGTAACATGCCGTAGTCTCTAATAGTCCCTTGTAACAAGGCAGCAGTTTTCTAAGTGATTATAAGAAGGCATACAGGCTTGCCTGTGGTTGCATCAAATTTAAGCCCCCCATTCACACCTGAGTATTTTATAGCGACAACACTCAGCGACAATTCCCAAAGCGCAAAAAACGCTCAAGATGAAGAGTCCCATTATTCTCAGTGGGCCCGTCACACCTGATCATTGCATCACGAGCTTCTTTGGGGCAGGGCCTCTAGATCACATGGCTATCCTCCCGCTAAGTGTGAATGGGGGCTAAGAGCCTTTTAAATGTTTGTGAGCTCAGGGATTAGAAGTTTCTAATGTTTCCTTCATGTCCTGTCCAGGAGACCCATATGAAGTGTGTGCCATCTGCCTTGAAGAATACGAAGAGGGTGACAAGCTTCGCGTCCTCCCATGTTCTCACGGTAAGACCCCCCCCCCCCTCTGTGGATTTGGTGTTTGGAATATACCCGGGGGGTTCCTAGGGGTGTCAGTTGAGCTTATGATATCCTAACTGCTCCTCTCTTTGCAGCATACCACAGCGGTTGTGTGGACCCCTGGCTGACCAAAACCAAGAAGAACTGCCCAGTTTGCAAGCACCGCGTCCTTCGATCTGAGGATGATTCAGACTCTGAGGGAGGGGGAGAAGAAACCAGCGAGGGCGGACGGGGAGATGAGAGTGACAACGAGCGCACCCCTCTGTTGAGGCCCTCCCCGTCCTTTGGGAGCATGGCGGAATCTCCACCCGCCCAGCAGGGGGAGCAGGAGCAGGAGGAAGCATCCACTTTGGCAGTCGCTGTGTGAGACCACAAGCCATGTTTCGTGGATTTAGACTTCCTGGCCCCTCCCAGAAACCCCGTCTGTGTGTGTGTGGCTGTCCCTTTTGCTCTTGTGACTCACCCATCTCCACAGTAATTTTCTAAGGTTCGGGTATCCAGTCCTTTCCTGATCCTGAACATTTCTGATTCTTGTCGGAAAATTATTTTGTTCCCCCCCACTTTGTGATGTTTGTTCTATTTCCCATAATTCTTTGATTTTTTTATTTTTTCAAATTCCTCCCTATATCTCATTTTACTCCACTATTAGGAAGGACGTTTTGAAGGCCAAACCCGCCCTAAACTGATATTTTAATATTGAGTAGATAATACTGGGATGATCCCCTTGTAGCTCAGAGGACGTTGGAAAGCTTTGTTCACCACTAAGTCTGTGAGGGTCCTCGTTCATGGTGTATCCAGCAGTTGTCTTGGTCAACTGGGCTTCTTCTGGAACCCTGAGTAGATAATACTGGGATGATCCCCTTGTAGCTCAGAGGACGTTGGAAAGCTTTTCTCACCACTAAGTCTGTGATGGTCCTCGTTCATGGTGTATCCAGCAGTTGTCTTGGTCAACTGGACTTCTTCTGGAACCTTGAGTAGATAATACTGGGATGATTCCCTTGTAGCTCAGAGGACGTTGGAAAGCTTTTCTCACTACTAAGTCTGTGAGGGTCCTTGTTCATGGTGTATCCAGCAGTAGTCTTGGTCAACTGGACTTCTTCTGGAACCTTGAGTAGATAATACTGGGATGATCCCCTTGTAGCTCAGAGGACGTTAAAAAGCTTTTCTCACCACTAAGTCTGTGAGGGTCCTTGTTCATGGTGTATCCAGCAGTAGTCTTGGTCAACTGGACTTCTTCTGGAACCTTGAGTAGATAATACTGGGATGATCCCCTTGTAGCTCAGAGGACGTTGGAAAGCTTTTCTCACCACTAAGTCTGTGAGGGTCCTTGTTCATGGTGTATCCAGCAGTAGTCTTGGTCAACTGGACTTCTTCTGGAACCTTGAGTAGATAATACTGGGATGATCCCCTTGTAGCTCAGAGGACGTTGGAAAGCTTTTCTCACCACTAAGTCTGTGAGGGTCCTTGTTCATGGTGTATCCAGCAGTAGTCTTGGTCAACTGGACTTCTTCTGGAAACTTGAGTAGATAATACTGGGATGATCCCCTTGTAGCTCAGAGGACGTTGGAAAGCTTTGTTCACCACGAAGTCTGTGAGGGTCCTCGTTCATGGTGTATCTAGCAGTTGTCTTGGTCAAATGGACTTCTGGAATCTTGAGGACATTTCGCAACCTGTTCAAGTTGCTTCCTCATTTCTAGTGAAGTCAGGAACATATCCACAGGGTTAGCTCCTCTACCACCATGATATCACATCACTGAGTGCCAATGCTGGTGGTGTAAACCATTGAAAGTCATGTTCTATCTAGCAGTCGTTAGTCATGGTGAGCGGGACGTCTTCTGTTATGTTGAGAACATTTTGAAATCTATCCAAGTGGCTTTCTCGGTTCTAGTGAAGTCAGCGCCCTATTCACATGGTTAGCTCCTCCGCCACCATGATATCACACCACTGAGTGTATCTGTTGATTCCATGGGTGAAATCTCTGCTCTCAAGTTTTCGGCCCTTACCATTTTTCACACCCATGACCAGTAATGGTCGCCCTCATCCTTAAATTGTAGAGAGAAGAAGGGAAAGAAGCTCTCAGCCCTTACCATTTTTCACACCCATGACCAGTAATGGTCATCCTCATCCTTAAATTGCAGAGAGAAGAAGGGGAAGGAGCTCTAAGACACCATGACGAGAAGGCTCGGGAAAGCCAGGAACATTGAAATAATGACCTGAAGACTCATGTCCCCAAGCTTCAGAATGGTTCACCATCCTGGTGTCTATTCAACACATGAAAACATATTTTGGACGGATTTTGCCTTTTACTTTTCTTTTGCTGCTGCTGTCGGTGGGTTCCGTTATTATATGGATAAAGAAAGAGGCACCCGTTCTCATGGAGCCGATATCCAGGCCCAAGTGGTGTCCGCCGAAGGTTTGTAGGCTTCTGTTGTGGAGGGAGATGTGTTTTGCACTCTTAATGACATCTGTAATTAATCTGTATCTGACTAATTATCCTGTACAGGTTTTTATATAAATGAAATTTCCTAACGAATGAGAATTCTTTCGTGTTTTCTATTTTTTTTTATTCTATTCTCATTATTATATTTTACTGATTTAGTTTTCCAGTGCCAACAACAAATTTAAAGCTGAGCTCTAGGGGAAATGCATAGGAGCTGTATTATTTTATTATTTATTTCAGGTACTTATATAGCGCTGTCCATTTATGCAGTGCTATATATATATATATATATTCCTATTGCCCGGGGGGCCCTTGAGTTGTCAGTCCCTCTGCTTAGGACAGAGCTTCTAACCTGCCCCTCAGGAGTCTACATCACTTGTAGGCTTTGTTTTACACTAGAGCCCCACCGGGCCCTGGAACCTGGCTGAATATTCTCCAAATCTGGTCATTGGGAAGGAAAGGTAACGCCTGGTCCACCCCCCCTACCATCTTCCACCCTCTGAACCTCCCTACTGGTGCTAAGTGTGATGGGTGGGCTCAACTGCCAAGTGCGGAAGGAGCGGGCCAGCCTTTGACCTCTCTTCCAAAAGTCAAGATCTGCATAAAAAAGTGCTCACAGTTTCTGGCGTACATTATTGGAAAATGAAAGGCACCAGGAGGGGCCCACTGTACACTCTCGGGGCCAGCTTGGACACTTTGTGTCCTTAGTACATTCAAGAGAACTACATGGAGGCTGCTCTTTGCTTACCTTTCCATCTGAAGATGCCAGTTCCTTGGCTGACCAGGGGCGGACTGACCATTTGGAAACTCGAGCACTGCCCGAGGGCCCGGGGTCAGTAGAGGGCCCCACATGAGATGCCGCTGGTACCTTTTCCATAGGCTTTTTTGAGTTTGGGCAAGGCCCCATGATCCCCTATTGCCCGGGGCCCCATGAGTTGTCAATCCACCCCTGTGGCTGACAGAGACAAGCCTCCCTGTGGCTGCATGGAGAAGCGCAGGATCTGACGGAGGAGTTCTGTCCTCTCTGCTGAGACAAGATGGGGGCGGAAATTAAGGGGGTGCCTCAGCTGCAGGAGAGGTGCAAGGGACACATGAAAAGGCCAGTTTTGGCCCGCAGGCCTTGCGTTTGACATATGTGCTCTAGAAAATGCTGAAGCCAGAGGATAAGCATAACAACTTCACAACAGGAGGTTGGCACTGGAAGGCTTTGTGCTTCTGTCATGGCAGGTATGCTGATGGGGAAGTGTGCCGGCTGTGATTGCTGACTTTTCTTTCTGAAAGTACCATTTCTCAAGTTGTCATGCCATCCTCTGGCTTCCTCCTGAAATAATCAGTTTCCTGACTGTCATGCTGATCCTGTGGCTTCAACATTTTTTTACATCATTTGATCAGAAGAAGTATTGACTTCATCCCGACTCTCCTGAGCTTCATGCTTGTGCCCGGTCAGTGACTCAATATTTCTCTAAAAAGGCCACGCTCACATTGGCTTCAGAAATCCTTTTGGCAACCAGTTCCTCAAAGTCATCCGTGGTTCAGCAAAGCCTTTGCTTAGGGAAGCATTGTTGCCTGCAACGTCTGACTCGCATTAGATGCTACTGATCGCATCCCCTGGTGGCCTCACCCAGAAGGAAGGCATTTCAGAGTCAGGCAAAATGCTGCCCAGATGGGGCTCCTGCACTCCACCCCGATTAAAAAGCTGTCCTTAAACTCCTGAATGATTTTGTCTAGGCTGATATGATGTCATCAGTCTGCTGCAGGAAGAAGGAAAAATTTCCTCAGTCTCCCTTCCTCCCCCTGTGATCACGCAGACTGTACCTCGTAAGGGAAGATGTTGTAGCAGCGGCTGATCTGTGTCAGACTTTTGTGAACACTGCCAAAATATAGACCGGTAGAAAAATTGGCATCATTGTATCCTCTCTGGGCCGTCATCTTAGCCCAAGAAGTAGATGGTTACTCTGTATGGTGACTAAACAAAGATAACGCCATCCTTCTAGATAGATAATGAGCAACCTCTATCCTGGGTCTACTAACAATGAGCATTTCATATATCTATATTGTACCGCGCTCCAAAATTAATAAATCTAAGTGCTCTAAATAAATAAATAATTGTATATAACTAAAAATTCAATAATAATCTATATCCATAATACTTAAATTCATAATTGCATAATACTTGAATCCATGATAGAAGTGAAAAAATTCCATTAATATTGTAAATCAATACATAAAAAACTTCGTGCCTGAAAAACTATTTAAAAAATAATAAATAAATAAAATAAAATAAACTGGAAGAAAATTTTGTATGAATTAATAATAATTCAGTTCATACGAATTGAGATGGTAATGTGAATCAATCTGACTGGCGTGGTAAGTCTATGTTCATGGCATGAACCTCTCTCTCCTTCCTCCTCTCCTTTCTCCTCAATTCAGCTTTTCTCAATTAGGACTTTCTCCTCTATCTGCTTGGCTTATTCCTCCATAAACGATGTATACATAGAAAAGGGAAAAAGAAACATAGTGTCTTATCCTTAGTAAAAATGTTTAATGAGCTTCTGATCTCCCACTCACATGGTATCAGCAAAAGTAACGCTTTGTGTAAATAAATCCAGGTCCTCCTGCAAACAGCCCTGCAGGTGTGTGTGTGTTCACTCGCTATACTCGCCGTTTCCTCTGTGGATGCGTGATGACGTCACCGACGTCACGTAGCTTCCTCTGGGGGATGTAGTAAACTACATCCCCCAGAGGAAGCTACGAGTCCCTGTAGCGTAACGCGTAGGGGAGGGGCGGTGACGTCATCACGCATCCACAGAGGAAACGGCGAGTATAGCGAGTGAACACACACACACCTGCAGGGCTGTTTGCAGGAGGACCTGGATTTATTTACACAAAGCGTTACTTTTGCTGATACCATGTGAGTGGGAGATCAG